GCTTTCCCTGAAGGCCTGCTTTCTTCCCCCACTGAAGCATTTGGTGATGAGGTGCCTCAGAGCAGCTTGATATGACCCATCCTTTTGCTTCATGGACTCTCCAACCTTTGCACCCCTGCTCCTGTTTCTGGGGAGTGGGTCTGGCTTCTGAAGGCTTCCCTGCCTGCATGGAGAGGGCTGTGGTTTTCTTCTTCGGGGTATGATAGGTCCAGCCCCTCCAAAGCTGAGTAAGTTGGCTTCCTGTTCTGGCTGTTGGAGTCACCACAGATGGCCAACGAGCTGGATGCAGTGGAGAGAAGGGCCGAGCCCAACTGCCCTGCATTTTGCATCGCTCTAGCTCACTGTGGCAGGCTGTGGAGGCAACACGAGTGCAGGTGTGTGCAGAGTGACACAGGAGCTGAGGAGTAGGATTATTAGCAAGTGCTCTGGAGGCTACAAGGAAAGGACTTACGTGATTTTAATACAATGCCTCCGCAAGTCACAATTGTAAGGCCCAGAGGACTCGTTAAAATTAAGCTTCTTGTCAGAGCTAATTTTTATTGCAACTTTATTCTTTGTGTTTTGAAAGTACATTCCATTCCGTTAGGACAAATCATTTCTTTCTCTTCATTCAGGAAGCACCTCCTAGCACCCTTCATTAGCACAAACACTCCACTGGTGAAGCTTTCTCTTTTCTTCCTTATTTTTAAAAATTCTGCAACTCTTCTGTTCTTTGTACATTGCTGTATTCTGAGGCTCTCGGCATGATGCATACATGGATGGAATAAAATCTGCACATTTTTAAAGTGAAACCATGTTCACACAATGGCCACTTTCCCACAGTACATATAACCCAGTCAGGCACTAGCCCAGTAAAAACTACTTATCATACTAACTGGGTCGAAACCACTGGGGACGAAAACTCTACCCCCTTTCTCTAGACTGTCCAAGTGCTCCGTGAGCCCTCGCCCTAGGAGAATAGGGCACTACCTTCTCCTTCCCCATCGGCCAGGTGGGCAACAGTAGGCATGGCTTGGCTGCTGCAGCCGATCGCTGTTTTGGAGGCGTGTTCTCTGGCGCCTGGCTTTGGCAGCGGATTCTGTAATGGGGAGACTTGCCTTTCTCATCTGCTCTTCTGCTCCATCCCATTTTCCTGCAGGACTTAATAAGTTATGCCTCCATCATTCAGTCAGCCAAGCTGCAGGAACACTGAAACCCCCTCCATTAACCTGTCTGTGCATGACCGAATTGTTGATGCTGCTGCTGATTCTATCTGTTCAGTCGTGTCTGATTCTTGGCGATTCGATGGATCAGCTCTCTTCGCGTTTTCCGATCTTGTACGGCTTCTTTCAGCTGTTTTATGCTCTGGCCGGTGTCGGCTTTGATGGTGTCTCGCCACCATGTTTTCTGGCGGCCTCGTTTCCTTTTACCGCTGACCACCCCGAGCATACTGTAACTGCCTTTTCCAGCGAGTTTGATCGCATGACGTGGCTGAAATAAGTAAGGCGGAATTTTGTGATTTTGCCCTCCAGCGATATGTCTGGTTTTATATGCTCCAGTACTTGCTTGTTTGTCACTTTTGCTGACCAAGCAATGCACAGGAGCTTCTCTAACACCACAGTTCGAATGAGTCAATTTTCTCCTTGTCTAGGTTTGTCATGGTCCAACTTTTGCAACCATAGATAGCTATGGGAAACACAATAGTGCAGACTGATCTGCGTATAATTGCAAGGCCGATGTCCTTGCTTTTCCATACTCACTTCATGCGCATCATTGCTGTGCGACCCAGTGCTATTCAATGCTTTATTTCTGGACTGCATTCATTGCTTTGATCAATCTGCGATTCTAGGAAAGTGAATTAGCTCACTGATGCCAAGGAAGTCGATTTTCAATCTGGTCATCTCCCATCTGATGATATCCAGTTTACTCTGGCTCGTTCCTCGGACATTCCACGTTGCTATTCAATGTATCTTCATGCAGTGCAGACCCTTGCTTTCACCGATGGTGCATCAGCAGCTGGGATTCCTGCTGGAGTTGCCCCAGGTGCATCATTAATGCCTTGACTACTCACTGCACATCCTTGCTCTGCCCCAGTAGCTTGTTGGGTAGCTTCTGACCTGGGGGTCCGACTGTTGGGCACCCTATCTGATTCGTTTGAGATTCTTTCCATAAAATGTCTTGGCAAGGTTTTTACAAGGTAGGTCACCAGGTCTTTCCTCAACCCTCCCCATTTATCCAGGCTTGGGGGAAGGCTAAATCAAATTCTTAAGCCACTAGTTCACTGCTTCCTCAACCCATTACCCTCCTTATCACCACTGACCCCTCAAGCGTGTTGTGAGAACAGGGTCATTGGCACAAATGGGCCCAGTTCACTCTGCCCAGCTATCTCCAAGTTTTGAACATGACAGAACAGTAATGTGTATGTGGGTTTGTGGGTCATAAGATGAGAGCTTACATGGCAGAGTTATGCATGGAGGGGCATTGAAGAACCATGACTTATCAAGCCCATGCCCATTACACTTTGCCACATGGGTGTGACATGTTCTCCAGGGATGGCAAACTTATTCTCTCTCTATGATCTTCCTTTGTGTAGGCAAAACATTATCATTTAGTGAGGCCTTTGTTCAGGATTGGGGAGGTGGGGCTTCAATAACATGGATATGGCTGCGATCTTGACTCCTTTTGACCCCCCCCCGATATATACGCAGGACTGGCTTAATGGTGCCCTTTTAAGACTAGAAAACAGAAGTATGAAGATCATGTCATTGTAGGCATAGAGCGTGTGCTTGAAGCTCCAAGTTAGGCACGATCTTGTTCCATTTGAGTCTTGGCCCAGATGTAGTTTATGGGACGCAGCTTTGATCCTCTTGGTGGACAATCTGCACTGGGGTCTAGAAGGGGAAAGAGGTTCGGGTTGCAATGGGGCATTGAACGGCTTTTGATAGCATCTGCGGTTGTCTTCTGGAATATCAGGGCTGGGATTTGGAGGCACCATTTCCAGTGGGAGGCTGTCGGTTGGATTTTTTCACCTGTTGGAGTCTCACAAAGGGTCCCTGTTTTATTTGTTTTGTATTTAATGTCTACGTGAGATGTCTGGGAGGAAAAAAAAGTTACCCTTGTTGCATCTTGAAGACTAACTTTTAAAAAAAATTGCATCAGCTTTTATGGAGCTCGATCCACTTCATCAAACACATGACAAGGAAAGAGTGTTTTGTGTATTCATAGTTATTCTTGGCAGTGGGAAAATGAGGGGGGGATGTGGTAGGAAGAGGCAGAATTGTTTGGAGGCTGACAGCCAAGAGAAGATTGCAGTAAGAATGTCAAGAAACATTATTTCCAGCAGACTGTCCATTTTAGAGCCTGGCTGCAGAAACTTCAGAGAGTGTTGTGCTCCTTGAAGGCGGTAGACTTGTTATCCGGGGAGCTTTAATGTTGTGATTACACAAAAGCAGTTGTTTTTAATAACAGGAAGGTAAAACACAGAGCAGGTTTTAAAGTGACTCTGCAAAAGGCTATTAGACATGAGACAGATGCTCTTTAAAGCTTTAATCTGACAAGAAGCCCTCTTCTTATTCAGTCTGCCTGAAAGGGCATTAGATCTTCTTTGCATTTAAGCCCTTCCATTTCATCTGTGAGTCATTCTTGGTCTCTTTTCCCAAGTCGAGCCACTAGGAGAGGAGTGATAGGATGTCCAGGGAGAGGGGACGGAGGCAAGCAAAGGATGCTGAGGGTGCCTGATGCTGGCAGTGGCCTGAATGAGGGCCAGCAGGTCATCTGAACAGGACAGACATGCCAGGCAACTCAGGGAGGGTTGTCCTCCTCTTGAGAAGGCAGTGTAGGGGTGCACGTCGACTACTTCTTCAGCTGCCACACAGGTGGAGTGCTGATGGTGGCCAATAGCAGGTTTGCACCGCTACAGCTGACGGGCCCGTTGTGTCTGTGCTTCTGTTCGTCACTGGTAAGGTGGGACCACGCATACTTTTGGGGTGAGTGGTTTTCAGCTGGTGGACTTAGACTTGCCAAAGTGGTTGCCACAGCAGCTCTTCCACCACTGCGGTATAAGGTTGTGCAGCCCAGAATTTTTTTTTCTTAACTTAGAGGCGCTTTCTTGTCTGCAGAGTTTGGAATCAACTCTTGGCCAGCCAGACAACCTCTCTGGGTCCACCTCTAAAACCCAGTGTGTTTTAGCCAGAACCTTCACCAGGGTCTGTGAAAGGCTGCATTCACACAGCTCCCTAAACCAGTAACCCTGATTTACAAACCACGTTAAGTCTTTGTGCATTGAGTGAACTGGATCATTGTGTTAAGTCATAGTGTGGCTTATTTTAGCTTAGCATGTGGTGTGCGTGCAGAATATGTTATTCCACTTTTACACAAATATCACAAGATCCTGGCCCATTTCTTTCCACAACATGGAGTCTTTGTGCAGACGGTGAAGCCCCAGGTGGGTTGGGACTGGGGGTCCTGAAGGGCTGCCCTCTCTTGTTCAAGCTGCTTCAGCTTTAAGGTGTTTCCAACCGGCCCTGTTTCCTTTATACCTGCAAGTCTGGCTTTGGTTCTCCTTTCCAGGAGAATTCTGTTCCACCTCTTCTCTGCAGGCCTTCCCTGTTTAGACAGGACACTTGCCAGTTGAAGCAAACTGTGCTGCTGGTTTTTAAATGCTTCTGAATTTTAATGCTTTTGGTTTCAGAATCATTTTAGTTGTTCTTCTGAGTTTGCATGACATGCCCAACTCATCTTGGAAGCCCTTGCAGAAAACAGCAGGAGAGGGGAAGATGTTCACATTTAATAAGGGAAGCCTTGGTCAAGCAACTAGCTGGTCTTTGAGACCCCTTATCTCTCTAGGACCAAAGATTCAGGCGAGGTGACTTGGCTCTGATTCCTCTTGCTGCAGAATTTTAACCAAAACTGAGAAAACAATTGCAGCAGGCTAAGGTGATACTCAGCTAGCATGCATGAAGTCCCTTGGTGTTCCTTCTTTCTTGCTTTAATGCTTCCTTTTTCCTAACTCTCTCTCACAGCTCTTCCCCTCCTGGAGTTTTTGAGAAGGAATACGAGCTCTACCGAGACTACAGCTCAGACGGTCAGCGGCTCCACTACCGGTAAGCAGTTTCACTCGAGTTTTGAACCTGAATGCATGGAAATGGGAGTTGCACTTGGTCTTGTAGCGGGGTTGGAACCCCGGCGGAGGTTCATGGCAGAATATCTGTCAGGTAGAGCTTTGGGGCCAGGGACGCTGGCCATGGCTAAAACTGTAGGCTGGCTCTGCTCTCTTGGCTAGTGGTGGGATAGGAACGGAACAAAATAAATCCCCAAGAGCCAGTCCCTCCCTAATGGGCCAGGTGTTTGGCTCTTAGAAGCGGCTGGGCTGACAGCTCTATTGAGTTTGCCTTCTGCATGCAAAGTGGGAGAGAAGGTTCCTCCAAGCCCATGATTATTCCTGGTTTCAGAGGTGATAAAATTTGCATCTCAAACAGAAGGATGCCAGGCTGTGAGCTTCCTCTGCTCTATAATCTTGTCCCTTGAATTGCACCCAGTTGTTTGCTCTGGAGCCAGCATGCAACAAACTGTCAATATTTGCTCTCCTTAGTCATTATTACCTATCTTTGTCTTTAAAAGGAGGCAGCGAGGTGGGGAGAGACACTGGCACAGACATTTTCTGCCCTCGTTTTTTTTTATTCCTGCTTGCTCGGGGCAGGGCTGACATGAAGGAGGCCGTGTCCAGAAGGGGGTGTGAAACGGATCACAGTAGACACCATCATTCTACTCGGCTGGCATGGGTGGGTGGAAGACTTCCTCTATCAGACATAGACATCTTTCCGGAGATGGACCTCTGAGCCTCTAATTTAGTTCCAGCCATATTGGCCCCATTAGACAAATTAATTTATGTTGGCTGCCTGGCTTGTCAACTTCATCTCTACTTTGATAGAAAGGCAAGGTTGGGAGGCAAGGAACCCCTCGGTCTTGCCTCTCAGAGGGCCCATCAACTTCTGCTCAGCTTGGCTTCTTCAAAAGCTTTTTGGCATCAGCAGCTTTGCTGCTTCTTTGCAGGAACACAAGTCTCAGAAATGGGGGTGGAGGGCAGTGGGAAGTTTCAAGGGAGCTGAAAACGGTGGAAAAAGAGGCTCTGTTCTTTCCTTCTGCTTCTCTCCCACTCTCACCTCACCTCTGAGCAAACAGGTTTTAGAGATTGGTTTTGCAGTAATAGTAAGCCACCACCCTTGCTCCAAGTTGGATTATTAGCCCAAGAGTATCTCTTTTGACTGGCCTAAGATGCAGAGATCTGTCCAGTTCATCTTTCTAGACCCACAGTGGCCAGCCAAATTCCTCTGAAGACTGCCAGCAGGATGCAAAAGCACTGTTTTGTGGAGGATATAGTCCATATCCTCCTTTTGTGGAGGATATAGTCCACAGAGGATATAGTCACTGTTCTTCCATCTGAGCCATAGAGGAAAACAAAGGTCTTGTGGTTTGAAGAGCAGGACCTCAGCAGTAGCCACCAGTCATAATTGGTGATAAGAAAACCATCACCCGACAGGTACACAGGTCTCCGTTCCAGCTGGCCAAGGTTGGGCAAACCACAAGAACGTTCTTACTTGCTTCCCCACGTCTTTGCCAGCAGAGTAGTTGAACACCTGAGCACAGCATGGAGAGTTCTTACCGGTTCTACAGCAAGATTTTTATTTACTTATTTTTTATTTATATTTCAAATTTAGATACCACCCATCTCATGAGGAAGCGACTCTGGGCAGCTTACAATAAAAACAACAAATATTAGTTAAAATACAATAAAAATAGTATAAAAATACAATAAAACCACATACATACATAAATAATAATATCTTCCAAGATGCAGGTGATCGAAAAGATATTAACATATGGGAGCCTCTTCAAGGTGCTAGCCACCCCCAGGGTTGGTTGCCCCTTCTCTCACCCCATGCCAGTTGGCAGAGCCAGGTCTTGACTGCTTTCTGGAAGGTCAAGGGAGTAGGGGCCTGCCTCACCTCTGGGGGGAGGGTATTCCATAGGGCAGGGGCCATGGCAAAGAAGACTTTCCTTCTGGGCCCCCCCAGTCGGCATTCTTTCATCGATGGGGTCCTCAGCATACCCTCTCTGCTTGACCGGGTGGGACGGGTTGATAGAATAGGGGTGAGACGGTCCTCAGGCAACCCGGTTACCTGAGGTTTGAGCCCCCCTTTCCAGTTCAGCAGGATTTAATACTGAGCCCAGGTCTGGTCTAGGTCTGCAGCAGGGCATGGCTACAAGAAAGCTGCCCGCTGTTTTCTCTAAGGCCCTTGAGTACAAAATGGGCAACGTTGGAGTGTATCTTCCATTCAGGGGTAGCATAATGGAACCTGACCTTGACAAGCAGAGCACCCCCTCCAAAATGATTGGGTTCTCAGCGCCCATCCCTACCCATCCCCTCTGGCCAACGTCCAGGCTGGATGTGGGGACTTGGAACTGTAGTCCGGCAGCTCAGTAAGACTGAAGAAAGCTCGTCTACAGACCTTGGAACTCATTCCTACCATTTGACCAAGGAAAGAGAAAGGGCAGGAGCAGGAAGACTTGATGCCGAGCCTCTGGGTTCAGCAGGCTGCAGGTTTAGCAGCAGCAGCAGTGGCTTGACCGCAGCTTTTCTCCTTTCCAAGAGGAATGGATTGCCATGTGGAAGAAAACTTAGGGGTGATTACTTTGAAGGAGGGCAAACTCTACCGTTCTTCCTTCTGTTGCCCCTCCGGAGGCACATGGCCAGTTCCACTGGCAAGGATGATCTATCGTTGCCTACATACCTCCGGCTTCCCCAGCGTGGCACTTTCCAGAGCTTTGGGTGCTACAGTGCCCACAACTCCCCGCCCTTGAGCAAGACTGCCCTCATCATTCTAAAGAGAGATAGTTGGCCAATAATGTTGTCTTTCAATTATTTCATAACGTACAGGCTGAAATCATGAGTGATGAACCAGTAAATCCCATGATCCATTTTCAGCTTTCGCTGATAAGTTAATGTGCGCCAAAGGACTCTGCTATTTAAGAAGAAGGAACCCTACAGAGCAAGCCAGTTTGATGGAGTGGTTAAAGGCACTGGAGTAGAAGCCAGGAGACCCTGAGTTCTAGTCCTGCCTTGGGCATGCAGCCAGCTGGGTGACCTTGGGCCAGTCCCTCTCTCTCAGCCCTGGGAAGAAGCAGGCAAGGGCAAACCATTTCTGAAACACCTTGCCAAGTAAACTGCAGAGGCTTGTCGCCAGAAGTCCACACTGACTTGAAGCCCCCGCCCCTCCTTCCAAAATCTTATAGAAGCATCATTCCTCAGGTTGGCTGGGTTTTTGGGACTTCCATCCCTCCTCCATTCTCTGGACTACAGAGAAATAAGAGTCCATTCCAATTCTGGGTTCTCTATTGTCTAGGTGTGCGCAAGACAAATTCTTTTTCAGCTCCAGAGCTTCCTCCTTCCTGGGGGAATTACATTTCTTTCTTTCTTTTTTAGAACTCTGTATCCATAATTCAAAAGATGGCTACATGCCCTAGTGATTATTAATATCTCGTTCTCTGTACGTGTCTCATTTTCTGCCAGCGTTAACTGCCTTTGGTGGCTCACTGATGGGGTCCAGAGGGTTTGGCCGCATGAGAAACCTAAGCATTTGGGCTTCTGGGAAACGGTGAAACACATCAGCCTAGTGCCCTGAGCCACAGAGAAGAGGCGCGTTAAATAAATGTTAGAGATGATTAAGACAGGGATGGAAACACAATGACAAAATGTCATCCTGTTGATACAGAAGCCTTGGTGGCAGTGACGTTCAGAACCCCTCAGATGGTCCTTTGCTCATCTCAGCATGGAGACTGTAGCGCTGGAGGAGGGGCAGGGAAGCACAGCTGGAACCCTGGCGGTTGTTTGGTGCAGTGTTTCTCAACCCTGGCAACTTTAAGATGGGTGGACTTCAACTCCCAGAATTCTGTGCTGGCTGGAGAATTCTGGGAGTTGAAGTCCAGATGTCTTAAAGTTGTCAAGGCTGAGAAACACTTCTCTAGAGTAAAGGTATAAAAAGTGCAGGTCTAAGAGCCGTCACAGAGAAGCTCGTTGTCCCCTCTGGATTTCCATGGTCTCAGATGGAAGGAGGACATTAACAAGTCCTTCCAAGACAGCCTCACCAACCGGGCAGGTTCAATCCTGGCCAGGCGGTGTCCGGTGCAACTCAGTGCAGTATTGTAAAAGATTTTATAGGTCATAACCAGACCTTTGAAATGGGCCCAGGAGCCCATTGGCAGTGATTTCAAGAGAAGTAGTAATAAGGCATTTGGGGCAGTGGGGACAGTTCTGACACCGGGGACGGTTCTCTGCTGCTTTCGCCTCCTTCGATCTAGCCTGCAATCCAGCATAGTAAATATCATAATTCTGCACTTTGCAAATGAACAAAGATTACAATCATCTGTATTCAAAGCGTGCAATTCGCTATTTTCAAAACAGACAAAATGACAGCCCGCATGGATGCCACAATTTCTACCTTGTGGTGCATCTTTCTATATAGATTTCAAAGTTATTAATAGGAGCATCTTTTATGCAGCCCTTTGAATCTTTTGCAGACCTTCATCCTTACAATGCCTTGCGAGATATGGAATAAACATTGGGCCCCAGAGAGCGAGTACATGTCATGGGCTCAAGAGAGCTGTCCTGAAAATGCATTTAGATCCAGTCTGATGCTCCACCACACACAGGCATATACTGGCTAGAATTCCTAAAACTGCCTTCTGCGGCCTGGATACTCTTCCTGGATAATTCAGGAGAAGGAAGATGGAATGATGAAAGACTGGTGTAGTGGGGAAGGGGCTGGTCTGTGCGTGGGGAGACCCAAGCTCTAGTCCCATCTTCAGCCCTGGAAGTTCCCTGGGGGAACTTTGAGTCAGCCCTTCCCTTTCAGCCCAAGAGCCAGATGTGGGGTAGTGGTGACGGTGCTGGACTAGGAACAGGGAGATCCAGGTTCCAGTCTCCCCTCAGCCATGGAGGCTCCCTGGGGGAGTATGAAACTCCGGCTGTTTTTTAAGTGGATTGCACCATTGCAGAGCCATTTGGCTTTTTGGGTCATACCCTGTGGGCACCAGTGTATGGACA